TGAATTTTTGTAATTTGATTTATGTGAAACTGAAACAAAATATTTAGGATTTTAGTTATAAAAAAATAGAACAGTATAATTTCTTCGTTTGAATCTTAGTTGATTGAAAGATCTCTGTTAGAACTGTAATTAAAGCAGAATACTACTTATTAGTGATTTAAGTTACAAAAGGGTTACATTTATCATGACGTATTACAAAGAATAAAGAACTTTCTTCACATGATATTACATATTACACAGTGCGTTCACAAATATTTAATATTTCAAAGAGAGAGAGAGAGGTTCAGACATATATAATACTTTTTTATACTACTTGAACAGCGGCAATTAGAGCTCATTAAATTCAAATTGCCCTTCTTAAGTGGAACTTTTTTATTATACTATATATAAGGATACTTTTATAAAGAATGAACATTATTCAGCATATCTCTCTCAGTAAATTCTTTCTTATTGAGAGATGTTTCAAATTATTTCACTTTTTTATTGCGCTGAACACAGACGAAGCAATATTTTATTCTAGAAGAAATTGAATCGTCAATATTTAAATTACTTTCAAAATATGTACATAAATAAAATATTTTTATGAAGCTCTAGAGTGAAACATTTCTTACGTTTTCTCTTTCAAGTCCGTCTCAGTACAGATAAGTACTAAGTTATAGAATTTCAAATTACACCGAGCTCTTTTTTGAAACGGCTTACAAATAACTTATGAGAAGTTTAATGCAACATGCTGAGATCCTTTTTATTAAGATCAAAAGAAAATATAGTAATTCTTTCGAACGCTTTTAAAGATAGTAAGAATTTAAACGAATAAAATTTACGAGAGAGTAGATAATTTATAGTACCTTAAAAAAAATTTTCAATATTTAATTCAGCACCGTAAGAAATGAAAGAAAAGTTATTAAGTTATATTTTCCTTCGAAGTATTTTCCAATAAATGATTCTTACTCATCCGAGAACAACTTTATAGCTACGAAACGTACATTAAAGATATGCTTTTTTAAAAACCAATACTTTTCACAAGTATTGATTTAATCAAAGAGAATGAATGTGTAATATGAGAGAAGAAAATATTTTCTTGTGTTAATACGAAATTGTATCTTTATTTATATAAGATATGCTCAATGCGACATACACAATCACTACATTGAAAATTAAGGGATATATATAAACAAAATACTCAACTTTGGGCGATTTAATCCGTTTTAGAGCTAATTAATTAATTAAAGATGTTCAACTGTAAAATTAATTATATGCATTGTTCATTTAAAATAAATAGTCAAATCGTTTTCTAAGGTTTTCATTAACATACAAAAAAAAAAATAAGACACTTTTGATATTAACTATTTTTTCGGAATAAAAATGACAATCTTCGCAATCCACTGAAAACGTCATCAGCTGAAAACGCAATCTCTGCTATAAAACTATTCGCCTTCCCTACTAAAATACTCATCATAGAACCCGTTCTGCCATATATCTTGGAATAATGGATTTCAAAAAATATTCCTGCTAAGTATCGTCAGAGTATTCGTAAAAATGGTTATTTTATGTAATCTTAAAGTGAGTGGTACTTATAAGTACCATCGGCAGATAAAGGGTTAAGGCTCATTTTGTATATGTTAAGCAATTGTTTATAATGAAATTATTTCTTATAATATTTTAGTAAAAGAACTGTTTCTATATTGTGTTTAATATTTACAGAACAAAAAATTATTCTGAAAAAATTTAATCTGAAAATGAGAGAGAGAGAGAGATTGAAAGAAATTATTTATTTTATGCATTTTTGCTCAATTGCTTATTTAAATGTGTAGTTGCACGCAATACAGAGTCGCTATGAATTAACGCACACACACATTTCATTTTAGAATAGCTAACTTCAGATATTTATACAAGTGAGTAGTAGTCTTTCAATTTAAAGCAACCCTAGAGGAAATAATCAAAATAATCGCATGTCGTGGGATCCGGAGATGGAGAAGACTCTCAAGATCTGACGCCTTTTATTATGTGATAACAAAACTAGGCTGTTTATTTTACTTTTCCACTTAAAATTATTATACAAAACAACTTGAAAATCTTAGGAGTATTTTACTTGATATGTATTCCTTTTTAAAAATTAAGTAATGTTTACATAAACATCAATTTTTTTGTGGTGGTACATTTTGAAAGTTTATTTTGTTATTAGCTGTGTTTTTATATCTATATATATATGTACCTAGTGGTTGCCCTCACGAACTTGTGGTCAGCGTTATCGAGTCACGGGTTCGAGTCCTGATACCACTGAAGACCCGCCGTGTAGAGAAATTGTGATACACGTTAAATCTATAATGACTCATAGTTCTTATATTGGTGTGGCGTGGAATTTAGGAGAGTGGAGTGACAGCTTAGGTAACACATTCTCGTCGATTGATCACGGCTCAAAATTACGTGGCCCATCGCCAATAGCCCTTGTGTTTCTTTAGAGTGTGACATTAACAAACACTCACTCACTCATCTCTCTCTCTCTATATATATACAGGAGAAAAGCGACTCATCTATTCACTCATTCACTCACCCATAGCAAGATCTCCGGAACCATCAGATATGTACACTAGAAATATTGCAGGTATATTACTTTTGCTGATTAAAGATTCGCTAAGAATGGGTTTCACAGAAATCGACTATTTAGGGGGTTGTAAAATGGTTTGACAAAGGTTTCCGTTTTTGAACTATACCTACAGACTTGAAATTTTACGAGCATGTTTCTTTTTTGAGTAGAGATCCACTAAGAACGGGTTTTGCGGAAATTGGCTCCCAAAGACGGAGTTACAGGGTCGTTAAAGATAAGTATACTTCCATTTTAGAAATTCTTGTCCTTTTTAAATCAAGAGGCGAGGACTGTAAGAATATTTTTGAATACAACCAAAAGTTTAATGCTAAAACTTAGATATGCATCTCTCAGCAACTTAAAAACATTTTATAGTCGAACAACCCCATAAAATATCACCCAAAATGTAACAAAATGAAGGAAATATCTAAGCTGCGTGAAATGTTCGTCCTGTGTATACCACTATGGAATATAAAAGCGATCAACGTAGACGCAGATCATTTGAGTATGTAGAGTCATAAGAAAGTGCTATGCTAGAAGAATAGAATGACGTTTGGAAGTATTGGGGTGACTTTTTCACGCGGTTGTTTTATGTAAGACGCTTCAGTATGTTACGAAGAAGAATATGAGCGTCATTTGTATACGTTTTTGAGTTCTTTCCATGAAAAATTGTTGCTAAAATAGAATGTTCATTCTTCTTCGGAGAATTGATGGTATTGGACGTAACTATGCAACAATAATACGAATCAGTAGTCACTGAAAGTGTTAGGGAGTGACTAACCCTTGGAATCGATTGTGCCAACCTTGTTGCATCACTACACGTGATGGCAGGTATACTTTTCGTATGGAGATGATGAATCGCTCTGTCACTTTAGGAAACATATCACCATAAATATAGTCAACTGCACATCTGTCAGTGTTCTCATGTATCATTAGAGGTGGAATGGGCGCCAGCCATTCAATGTTGCGATTACTTTTGTCTCAAAACCCTAGTGGTATGTGTTTGGAATAGGACACTGAACGAAGGACTTGGACAACTGAATGGCAGGAAAATGTCTTTACAGACGAATCATCCTTCTGTCAGCAACAAAATGATAATCGGATTTGAGTCTGGAGACATCATATAGAGAGGTTACATAACTGTTTCCTTATACTTCAGCATCTGGTCTTGCACCAAATATTATGGTTTGGGGATGGTATTGGATTCCATTCCATCACTCCTCTAGTACATATCGCTAGTACAATGACCAGCCATATCTCAGGTTTTGGAGCCTGTTGTCTTCGTTTACCTTCAGAGCTCTCTAGCGGCTTCATGCAAATAGAGCAATGCTTAATAGGGTAAGACTTCATCCCCTGTCGGACTGCTATGATGTCTTGGGTTGTTTCTTCTCCTGGTCTGTCGCCTATCCAACACGTATGGAATGATTAAGTTAAGTAAATCATAAATATCAAAATATTAATTAAGTCAAATTATCGTTACTCGTATGGCAAATGTGTAATATAAGAAATTCAATAGGGTTCTCATTTTTTAAATAGTATTTAATAAAAAAATTAATTTTTAATTTTATTTGTA